ATATTTATATAGCGCCAACAAATTCAGTAGCACTTTACAATGGGTGGACAAGCTTGACAGAGGAACAGAGGGGTTGAGGGTCCTGCACAATGAGCTTACATGCTAGAGGGAGTGGGGTATATTGACACAAAATGAGGGAAGTAGAGTAGTATTCACTAAAGACTTAGCGTGTTTTGTTTTTGAATTTATTTTTTAAATGACAGATGCAAAAGAGGAATCAGTAGGGAGCCATTAACCCCTTAAGAACGGAGCCTAATGGTTAGGGTTAAATATAGTGCTAGCAAATTAAATTCCATTTACTTTCAGCATGGGTTGTCAGGCAGGTCCCGCTAATTGTAATTAATTAAGATACCTAATTATGTAAAAATATTACATAAATATATATGTAGAATTAATATATGTATATATATATACATATGTGTATATATATGTATATATCTATATACATTTTTAAAAATATTTTTATTTATATATAGGTGTATATATATAGTGATATATACGTATATATTATTTCGTTCTACGTGTATTTTGATATATATATATATATAAATTTCACAATACAGTTAGAACGAAATAACACACATCTATATATTTTTTAATTATTTATTTTTAATAATTTTTTTAATTTTATTTTTTAACGTATTTACATTTTTTTTATATTATATATAAATATATATAACAATAATTATATATATATTTAATCAGTATCAGTCTATGTGTAATTTGATATGAATATATATATATATATTAATAGTAAAATACACCTAGACAGTGTACGTGTGTGTATGTATATGTGTGTGTGTGTATATATATATATATATATATATATATATATACTTAGATCATATATATATATATATATATATATATATATATATAATATATATAAATGATCTAAGAATATAATTATTTTTTTTACACTTTTTTTTACACTTAATTTTATTTCATTGGATTTCCAGCCAGCAAGGGGACCACCTGTCATTACAAGCAGCCCCCCTGCTGGCAATGCTGCAGCCAGCTATCCCGGCCATGTGATTGTGAGGTCCTCGCAAGGACCTCACTCTCACATGGCGGGGGGGCTTCCAGGGGATCGGACGTGCCGCGGGGGGCTCCCCAACCGCGATCGCCAGCGTGGGATAGGGATTAACAGTTTAATTGATATGCTTTTGTGAAAAAAGTAAGTTTTTAATGATTTTTTGAAGGAATGAAGACTGTCTGAGAATATATTCATAACTCCTTTCCCTTTTCTGTTAGACACTCATCCAATGGTTTGGATTAGCCCCAAAATTATTTGCATAATGCTATCATATCCCTTCTGAAATACAGTTTTTTCTAAACTAAAGAGATCTTAATGTTTTAATCTTTCTTTATAACTAAATATTCCAACCATTTTATTAATTTGGTAACCACCTCTGCACTTGTTCTAGTGTCATAATATCCTTCTTTAGAACAGGTGTCCAATGTTGCATTTTCAAGATGTGGTCTTACCAGTGATTTTTAAAGAGACTGAATTATATTTTTATCCTGTGAATTAATGCCCATTTTTATACATGACTACCTTACAGGCCATAGCAACTTCTGATTGACATTGCACATTGTTGCCCAATTCCCAAATCCTTCTCGTATGCGGTTATTCCTTATTCACAACCATTAAGTGTATAAATTGCTTGTGCATTCTCTTACCCCACCCTCCCCAGCCCCTCCTGAAGTGCATAACATTTTTCTATGGTGGAGGGGTCATTGTGGGACTTGTTAGAGCTCTTGTAACAGAGTTAGTTTCCCTGTAGTATGCTGTGAATTCAGATCACTGTCCAGCTTTCCAAGAGTCATGTGGAGAGGCAGGAGCAGGCACACACAGGAGAGGGTAGGGAAGCTAAAACTATAGATAAAACAATATCAGTTAATAATATCAATTGATAATTTTATGTCTATATCTGTGTGTATCAGTTTGCATGTGTACCTGTGTCTGTATGTAATTGAGTCTGTGTGCATATCTTTGTCAGTGTGTGTATCTGTGTGTGTAAAGCTGTGTGATACAAAAGTGAATACAAATACACAAAAATAAGCCCTTTGCTCAAACTCCCAGTACTCCTGGGCGGCAGCAGCACCCATAGCCCACATTAGCCCCAATACATATAAAACAAGCAAAGATCCATATGCATATTTAAATAAATGGAGGTTATTTAGTAACTCCAATGGCCACTAGATGTAAGCCCACCTGCCCACCTACCACATCTGCATTCAAACATCAACATTGCATACAAATACACCCCTGCATTCAAATACGCAAACACTGCCCTAAATTCAAACGCACACAGTAGACAAAACACACCCCACTATTCAAATGGGATCAGTACATACAAACACACAACTGCATTCAAATGCCAACACTACACATTAATACACCTTTTTATTGTTGTAAGAAAGTCATAAATTACATTTAGGATAATATGTGAAGTTTTTCTTTGTGTCCACATTTTTGACAATCAAACTTAACAGATACA